GCATCAATAAATCATTAACATAACAGTGGAACATCCTTTCAACTTTAGACAATCAGTGCATCTTGAGTAAATTTTTAATGTCAGTTGTAACTTAGCCTTTCATAGTTTCTTAAATGTCAGGAAAACTGTGTCTTTCATATGTACCTTGATTGTTTTTTTAATTTTTGGTCTTTTAGAGAAAGTTATTTAATACAGTGATTATGAACTCTGAATTTAATACCCATATAAATTTTATCTTCCCACTTTGCTGTTTTTCAGATCGCCATGAGATTATCTCCAAAGAAATATTGGAGTTGGACCCATGGGAAAATCAGTGGAATGTTGTAGCCGTCAATGTCCTCATGCATGACAACTATGATGTCTGCCTGGTGGCCAGAATGAATCCTCGAGACCTCATCCCCCCACCTTCAGATTTGGTGGAAGAAGGCAAGGACCACTGAGGTCAGCATTGCTATAGAACCTTCTGTTGTGTCTGCAAAGGAGACGTTAGGAATGGAGAGAGCTCATGGGCATCCATACATGTGCTTTGCATGCATAGTGGCCCATGTGCAAAGCAGCTTGTGCTGGACACTGTGAGGGGGGGTGTGCAGAGTCCACCCTCAGGGACGCCACTTGGTTAGGGTGGACAAGACATTACAAAGACTGAATGTGGTGATGTCACAAGAGGAGTACAGGGTGAGTGCCACAGAAGTGCAGGGGGTGGAGGAATCCCACTCTGCTGGGGACTCAAGGACAGCATTGCCAAGATGCAGGCCTTCATCAGAGCCTTGGAGGATGAGGAGGAAGCTGTCCCATGTGTGCAATTGATAGTGAGATCACAGATAGCTGAGTAAAGGCCAGAGGTGGGCCAGGTTGCCTGGACCACTGCCTTTGCTATAAAGGCTAGAAAGGTAGGTTATAGCTTAAATGACCAATATTTGGAAGACCAAGGACTTTGGAGCTAGTCTCTAAGCAGGGAAATGATCTCAAAATAGTGGTGTGAAGGAAGACATATCTTTCTACTCTGTTCTGGCTTCAGTCTTATAAAGACTGTCTATTCTCATGCAGAATACTCTTCTGCTACAGAAACACTGTCCAAAAAAGGGCTAGCAGTGGACTGACTACAAGTTCCTAAGAGCCCAGGCACTCAAGCCAACCACAGTGAGCAGAGGAATTCCACCCTGGGCTGGGTCTGTGCCAGTGAAGGAGATACGGGGCTCTGTAGCCATGGTCCACTCTTGGGCTGGTACAGAGGTTCCTAGATTGGACCTACCCAAGCTGCCCTTGACTAGTTCTCAGACACACAAGGCCTTCCACAGGCTGGTCCTGGCTGAACACAATTGGCCTATACCACCCAACCCAGGCACTGACCAGTCTCTGGAGTAAAAAGAGGAAGCATACCCCTTTGGCAGCCAGCTGCCCTCTTGGGCCCAGTCTTTGCACTATCAACCCCAAGGTTGAAGGGGGAGGATGGAACCTCCTGCTTCAGCCCATAGTTGAGCATAGTTAGAAAATAGCCACTCCCGAAACACATCTTAGGGATGACATTTAAACAACACCAAGGAAATCCATCTATTTTATTTACCTTCTATACTTCTGGAAGCACAATAGATTCAAAGAATGCATTTTGATCCCTGATCTTTGACACCTTCTCCAGAGTTTCACCTTACACAGGCTTTCTTAAGTAGGAGTGGTTAGTAAATTCCCTAGAACTTTGCCACAGGCAGACCTTCTTAGATGAGTATAGCTCTTCTGTGGTATAGAGTTGTGTGACTTTTGTGACCTCTATCCCATGTCCCCAGGTTCTAGCTGTTAAACCAGGCAGGAGAGATGGGTCCAAGGATATGAGCCAGTTGGAAGCCTACTTCTGCCACCATGAAGGGGGGCCCAGTTAGACCCAAGGTAGGTTGTCCCCTAGTAGGCTAGACAGGGCAGGAGCCATGCCTGTCTCTCTGCAGTTGTAACCAAGTGCCCACTGCAGTGCCTGGCACATAGAGGTCTTTGGGTAACCCACACAGAGTAGCAATTCTCAGTCTGAGGGCTTGGTCTCTGAGCATTTCCAGGAATCTGAGTTAAATGAGTTCATTCTTCTCCCTGCTGGAGGGTCTTCTAATCCGTGGATTCTTTTTCTTGCCAAAAAGGCAGAGCAGTTCTTCCCAGAGGGCTGTACTGGCTGGTGGTGTTCATGGTTGAGGAGCGCCCCCACAGGTCGCTGTTTGCCTAAGCTCCTCTTAATGGGACCCCTGCACCTGCTCCTATTTAAACATAGAAGCTGTCACATCTCCCTGGATCAAGGAGGCCTTGCTAGCGTGTCATGACACATTTCTAAATGCATTGGGTTTCCGATCGAAGCTTTAGTCCCAACTCTGCTACTTAGCTAGCTGTGTGATCTGGTGCAATATAACCTTTCTATTATTGCCTTATTTTCCTCATATACAGAATGGGAAGAAAAATGCCTTATAGGGTTGGTGTGAGGACTGAGTGAGAAAACACTGACCAAAGTGTGTGTAAGATACTAAAACATTTACCAGCTGCCATTATCATTATCATTACTGTTGCACTCAGCATTCCCAAAGCATGGTGCCCAGAACAACCCAGTGCTTGAGTGCAGTCCCTTGGGGTTCTAGGGAGAGATGTGGATGTGGCTGACATAGCTCTTAATTTCCCAGACGCAGCCTTTTGGCTCCTCCACATGGCATGCTGGAACAAACAGTGGCTTGCTTTCGCGTTTTCTTAAACCCTGGTGTTTCTTGACTGACTTTCACATTTGTAATTCAAAACTAGACACTTCTGCCCTCCTGTTGTTATATGTTGGTAGAGATTCATCTCTGAAACAACATTTTCCTATCGATCCTTTTTCACTTTAACTGAATGCTATCCCAATAGCGCATGGAGGGCTCTTAGAAAACGTTGGCTGTTTGCTAGTTCTTCTCTTTATGAAGCAGAATTGTTTGACACTGAGCAATGGGACCTAAAAGGGAAGTGATCTGGATGCTGAGGCTGAGAGAAGACTGCAGCTGTCAAGCACACCCCCGTTCAGTGTGTGTTCTTAAAGAAAGCATCATTGTTCTCTCTGATTGACTTTATAATGAGCAAATGCTTTGAATTTGAACTTGCAAAATTTTACCAATAAACGATCACGTTCATCTTGTTTTTCATATCGCAAATCCATGTCAGTTTCATTTGAAGAAGGGGTTCCTGTGTCCAGGACGTGCTGAGCATTCCCAGAGTGGGGTATGACCAGCCAGCAGAGCATCAGGAGCAAGGCCAGAGGCCAGGATGTCTGAGGCAGATGAGGGCCAGGAGGTGGTCCCATTTGCGGGACGGTTGAAGCACAGGAGGATGGCAAGCGAAGGAGATGAGGCCAATCACAGAAGCCCTCAGATGCCATACCAACGATCTGGCCTGTATGCCTCAGCAGCACGGCTTCAGGCAAGGAGCCCCTTTAAGAACATCCTTCCACGGCCCCATGTAGATGAGTAAGGTGAGAGCAAACAGGGGCAGATGGGCAGGAGGCCCTGTAGGAACTCAGGTCACAGAAGCTGACTTAGCCCAGTAGCAGCAGGAACCAGGAGAGTCCAGTGCAGTCAGAAATGGAGGGTGTCAACAGTTTGCCTGCCAGTTCAGAGCCAGGGAGATGCCATGAGTTTAACCATAAGAGAATGGCCGCTCAGCCAAAACCAAAATCGTTCAAGGGGTCCACCCCCTTCACCTGAAAGCGTTTCTTAAAGAGAGCTACTACCCGAATGGCTCCAGTTGTTCATCCTGGGCCTGTCTAGGGGTTGCCAAGAGAGAAGAGGTACTGGGGTGTAGTCAAGTCACCCCACTTATTTGCCACCTCTAGCAAACCCAGCTGAGTGTGCCCCTATAGTCATTGCCCTATTCTTCTTGTATACAGTGACTTGGACCCTGCCCCAGCTCATTGGTAGATCCTGCCTCGATTGAACCAGTCGTAGCAATCTCATGTCCTTGCCCAGGGTTAGTTTATCACAGCCATGTGGCACAATCCCAGCCAAAGAGACACAGAGGGGTACCCACAGAGGGGCTTTGGGAAAGGTTTTCTCTTTTAAAAAGCTGTTGAGGGAGAGATGGGCTCTTCTTCTGCTGTCTTTTCAAGTCTGCGAGCCCCTGGGACTGCAGTCACTGTCTTGCAGTGAGGACAGACTGGAGAGAAAATGCTGCAGTTGCCCCACGGAAGGAAAAGACCCAAGATTTGTGGCACAGCCACCGAATGAACCAGCCATGGGACTTCTTGTCAGATGCTAATTGTGGCAATAAATTTTACGTGCAGCCCAAGACTTCCTAATTGATACTCCAACCTGCCCCCACCACAGCCACTTTCTCTTGGGATGACCTTGATACTCCTGCCGAAGGGAGGACTCAAGCAGTCTGGGCCGTGGATGTCTCCTGACAAGGTGATTTAGTTCATTTCAGTGAGGGAAGCCCTGCATGCCTGGCAAGTGCCAAGGGGTTATAGTGCTGAGTCCCTTCTTAACTATCTCTTAGGTATTTTTCTCTCCAAACTTCAACATTTTTGTTTACTACAAATCCCACCCACCAGCTGTTTTTGTAAATAATGTTTTACCGGCACACAGTCGTGCTCTTCACTTCTGGATTGTCTGTGGGGCTTTCATGCAGCAACAGCAGAGCTGAGGGGCTGCAGTAGAGACCTCTGGCCCACAAAGCCTAGAATATTTACTCCCCTGCCCTTCACAGGAAACCTTTGCCAACTCCTGGTGTATTCTACCAGATTTTCTTGAAGAAAAATACTGAGCTAAGGGAATAGATACATTACAAAGGAATATATATGCATGTTCTTTTATTTTTACATATATAACATGGTTCTAATCCAGTCTTCTCTCATTCAACACTATATCTAAAGCAGCCATAGATGTAGCATAATTTCTTTTTTAAAAATATATTTTATTGATTTTTACAGAGAGGAAGGGAGAGGGATAGAGAGCTAGAAACATCGATGGAAGAGAAACATCAATCAGCTGCCTCCTACACACCCCCTACTGGGGATGTGCCTGCAACCAAGGTACATGCCCTTGACCGGAATTGAACCTGGGACCCTTCAGTCCTCAGGCCGACACTCCATCCACTGAGCCAATCCGGTCAGGGCAATGTAGCATAATTTCTTAAACAAATCACCAAGAGATGGACATTTCGGTTGATTCTTCCAGTTGTTATTCCAAGGGGAAGGATCCGACCTCCCACTCGATTGCTCTGGGCTCTGGCACCAAACTCCAGGGTGGCGGTGGTTTAGAAGGTGGACTTTGCATTGCACTGACTCTGTGGGAGCTTGGGAACATTAGACAAGGTGCAGGAGCCCGCCTCCTTGCGGCAGACGTGGCCCCAAGCCTCTTTAGAGGCATTTGGGCTCCTTGAGAGACATGACGGATAACAGCCAAATTGGGAAGCACACCCGTCTCATGCAGAAGGCTGGTCCAGGCTACACAGAGGAGCCCTGGGAGGAGCCCTGGTCAGCTGTCACTGAGAGGACAACTGGATAACTCAGGTAGAGTTGCAGCATCCTATGGGAGGCCACGCCCACCCTGCAGCATTAGAAACTCAGCAGTAATCTCCATTGGCATGGAGCACAGGAAAAATACGTGTGTTGGAAAGAGTAGTTGAAGCGTCAGATTCCAGCCAAACATGAGGCTTTTCACCAGCAAGGACACTTCCTTCCAATCAGAGGCATGATTTAAGGCCCAGCAGCCTTACTGAAAGCTTGTTTCTCTGCCCTCCCAGTGCTGTGAGTCTTAGAGCAACGTTATCAAAGAGAAGTGTGCCAGTACTGGGTCTGTTTCATCTGGGAGGGGGTGTGCCATGCGAGGGTGGACCAGGCAGAGGGCAGAGGTCCCCTGGGACATGGATCTGACAGCCCCTGGCTCCAGATAAGTTACTCTCTCATCCTTTCCCTATCTCTACTCAACACATATGGCTACACAATCCTGAACCAGGCACTACCAGGATACCCAGAATAATGCTAGAGAACATCTTGCCATTGTTCTGAGAAAAGACGTGCAGGAAGAAGATTGAAAAGCATCGGTCAGCTGGTCAGTTGAGCGCTTCTTCTGAGCCAGGCACTGCTCTGGGCAGAGAGACATGATGCAAGGCCGGGCTCTCGACAAGTTCACATCTGGAGAAGAAACGAGATGTGCAAATACAGTGGCATGGCATCTTGTGAGGGGTTAGAGTCTAAACCCACATCAGGCAAAAATGCAGTGTAATTATCCCTGCATTTGTTTCCTATTGCTGCCAAACAAATCTTTACACATTTAGTGGCTTCATTACAACACACATTTATTCCTACACTTCTTTTTTTTTTTAATATATTTTATTGATTTCAGAGAGGAAGGGAGAGGAAGAGAGAGAGAGAAACGTCAATGATGAGAGAGAATCATTGATTGGCTGCCTCCCACACACACACCCCCCAACCCCACTGGGGATCGAGCCCACAACCCAGGCATGTGCCCTTGGCCGGAATTGAACCTGGGACCCTTCAGTCCGCAGGCTGATGCTCTATCCACTGAGCCAAACCAGTTAGGGCTATTCCTACACTTCTATAATTGTGACGAGGAAAGGCTCCTGCCTGCGGGGTGACCTCCATTCTCCTTTAACGTGAAGCCTTGCATGTGTTCCGCAGGAGTCAAAGAAGTGTGGTGACACCTAAACACGAGTCATCGCACAAGTTAGATGGTTCTCTGGTACCAGCAAAGTGGCCCAAACAGCTGAGGATCCGGGAGAGAGGCCGTGGCTTTAGGGAGTCTTGTTGGGCTCCTCTCACAAGCAAGTGACCCCAACGGCTTGGGTTTGCCAGATGAACAAAAAAGAGTAAGGGCATTCCAGGTGCAGGGGCAGCCTGTGCAAAGGCCCTGGCCAGGAAGAGGCCTGCTGTGCAGGTACGAGAGAAGCTTTGGGTGGGCAGTCTGAAGGTAGGTGGCTGTAACAGCAGACTAAGCCAGGTGGGGTGGGCCCTGGGTGCAAACTCATGGAGGCCAGGGTGGGACTTTATAAAGATCATGTCGGTGGCCACACCTCAGGGTGAACAGGAACAGGCACCCTGATAGGAGGCTGTTGGCAGAATCCAGGTGGAAGCTAACTAAGTGGGACAAAGGAACAAAGAAAATGAACTATAGTCCGGCCAGAGCTGGAGTGGAGTGGAGTGGAGTGGAGTGGAGTGGAGTGGAGTGGAGTGGAGTGGACAGGACTCAGGACCCCAACTCCCTGGTGCCTGGCTGTGTGGGCTGGACTGGTCGTTTCATGGCTGGTCTGCATTTGCTCACCTGCACCACCTCCTGGGTGGGAAGGTGAAGTGAGACCATGCATTGGAGCTCCTGCCCAGCGTCAGGCACAATGAAGTGTTCAGAAGCCTTCCGTGCTGTGGCAATTAGGCAGAAGGTGAGAGGAATCACGATGGCCCCAGCTTCTGTCCGGTAGCTTCCTGCTGTGTCCTGAGACCTTCTCGCCCCACACCCCCAGGGGGCGAAGGTCCCACAGCTGCCCCTTTATTTCCCAGGGCCACTACATTAGGAATTTCTTGTTCTTTTGAAAAGCAGGGGACAGACTAAAACTTCTCACCTTATAAAAGCAAAACTATAGGGGGGAAACCTCAGAAATCACTCTCTGCTTTCTTTGCTTATTCAAAAGCATAAGTGATCACCCTCCCTTCCGCCTACGTTTCTCGGTCACATGCACCAAGAGTTCCCCTTGCTCCCGGGAGCTATATACACGTCCAGTAATTAAACCCCAGGGAGGAAATGAGCTCGGGACATCTCCTGTGACTTTCCTACCTCCCTTTGCACAGGCGAACACTGCACCTGGAATGCCCTTGCACCCTTCCCAGAAGCGTCCCTACCCTGGCCCTTTGCTCTGTGTAGTGCAGTGGCACCTTGTCACCAGCAGCGCTCACTGAGCCGCGTGCACCAGTCCCGGGGCACAGTGCTGGCCATGGTGAGGAGGAGAGAGGTGTAGCAGAGAGGGCATCGGGGGTCTTCAGAGGTGTACAGGATATGGATTGGGACGGCGGGGGGCGGTAGGGGGGAGGCGGAGACCAGGAAAAGATTAGCAAATTCTGGGAACTGCACAGGTGCAGAAGAATTGTGCAAAGAAAAGAATGGAGGGGGTCCCAGCAGGACAGTTTGGCCAGCCCCGGCCCCAGCGCCTGGGGCACCAGGCTGCCAAGTGTGACTTCATCAGGTGTCCAGACTCTAAGACAGCGAACGGCTGACAGGTCTGGAGTTTGGAGAGATGCCACCAACGTGTGGTGGAGGGGAGGACAGGGAACCCTGGGCGGAATCTCCTCTATGCCCCAGTTTCACTAGACCCTTCGACCAGTCCCAGAGTGGGGACAGCACACCCAAATGGGGAGAGCGGTCAGGGGAAAGGCTTTACAACACTGGGGTATGGCTCCATCTCAGCTCAGTGTGCTAAGCGACCTAGGGGGAAACACTGGCCCTCACTGAGCTGCAGTTGGGGGCTTCTCTTAAAGGGGCAGATAGAACTAACCCCCTCTCCTCCCCACCCCATGCCCCTACATCTCACTCAAATGAGAGAAAAGGCAACTGATGCCTATTATCCAGAGGAAGGAATGAGGACACAGGCTTGGGCCACATGTGCTGTGGAGAAGAGCCAATCACGGGGCTGAGGGAGAGCCAATGGACCGTCAGTAGATAAAGCAGCTGGGCCTGGGCACCTGCCCCCAGGTACCACCACCCCTCCCTGGTAAGAAGGACTCCTTGCTGGAGAAGCCAGCGGCCTCAAGAAAAGACAACCCTCTGGCATTTCCTCCCCTCTTGGATGTCCCCCAGCGTCTCTACTGCCAAAGACACCCCAGGTTCCCTCAGGAATTCTGCTGCAGCCCAAGGATTATAAGGCATTGACCGCCACCCCCTGTTGAGGGAGCCTGGCTGGATGCAGCCCACCTGTGCAGGCTCCTGGGCCCAGCAACACACCAGTGAGGAGAGAGGAGGCTCTGGGACAGCTTCTGCCGCCCTGGAGGAAGTAGAGACGCATTCAGCCTGGAGCTGGCTGGCGGCCACTGGGCTTCCAGAAGCAGCCACTGATGAAGTTGTTACCGTGAAATGGAAATACAGAGCATTTTCATATACCAATAATGAACTCTCAGAAAGAGAAACTAAAAAAACTCCCATTTACCATTGCAACAACAAAAGAGATACGTGGGAATAAACTTAACCAAAGAGGTTGTAATTCTGTATTTTGAGATTATTTCTTTATAAATGCCATAGTAAAGTGTCCGCAAAGTATGTGGTTTCCATTTGTTCATGTCATTTGATGCTCAAAGAACCTTGGCAAAGTTCCTTAACCCAAGTTACAAAATTCTTTCTAAAATGGGGTTAATAGTACCTTCTTCAGTGTCAGCGTGAGGAATGAATTAGTGCATGGACTGCTGCACTGCCACCCCCAGGTGGCGCCATCCTCATTAGATTCCGTGTGATTGGCCCTAGGGGAACTGGGCAGCACAGTCTGCATAGCCACACCAGGCGGTCCTGCCTAACAGCACAAGTGGTAACAGGAAACACTCAGTAAGGGGTAGCTAGTATAATAATAATTACGTATTCTTATCGTAACTTTTCCTTGCAAGAAAGGCGAATTTGCCTTTGGATGCTACAAAGAAGCTTCAGTTAATAAAAAAAAGGAAATTAGCAAACATTAGACTTTCCAGACCAGGCATTTTCCTAAGGTGCTTTGACATGGGTCATTTCACTTAATCTTCACAACTGCATATTATCACCTCTCTTTGACAGATTAAAAAACTGAAACTCACCAAGATTTGACTCAGGTACATAAAACCAGTGGGGAATGAAGTATGGTAGCAATCATCTCAGGTAGAAACTATAGTTTAACTTTAACCCTGCTGTTTGGTTTCTGTACTTATTTGTTTGCTAAAATAATAGAAAAGTTAATTTGATTTTCTAAATTATATAAATCACCCCATTCGATTGAAAACCCTATTGATAGTAATGAATATCCCATTGGTTGTGGTCATACTGGTCTTAGAAAGCACATTTTCCTTTACCTGGGAAGGACAGCACAGTTATCCCAAGGTCAGAGGGCTCCAGTTAATGTGTCCCTGTTGACTCAGTGTTCCGGAGACCCAAAAACTGTAATTGAGATAACATGCTTAAGTCTGACCAGGTTCCTCATTCCAGACCCGAGGGCTCTAGATAATGTGTTTCCGTCAATTCAGTGGTCCAAAACTATAATTTAGATAACATGCTGCTTCTGCTTCTGTAAACTGCTTTTTTTGCAAACCAGGTTCCTCATTCCAAACCTTGGGATGTAATCAATACCTTTGTGATCTTTGCCTATATAAGTCTAGTTTTGCGACCATCTTACTACTATGAGATTTGGGGAATGGCCCCTCATAGTCCCAGATCACAATAAATGTGACTCTTTAATTCGAAAAAAAAAAAAAAACCCACAAAACTGAAACTCAGATATTTCAAATAGATCAAGTTGACTATTAAATATTTGAGCCAGAATGGGAACAGAATGGGAATGGGAGCCTGTTGGACTCTATATCCAATGTTCTTTCCACAGTGGCAAGCTGCAGACAGGTGTGTGTGTGTGTGTGTGTGTGTGTGTGTGTGTGTGTGTGTGTGTGTCAGGGGTGGGGAGGGGGGATGCATTCTTTTTGGCCACCCAGCATTCATTCCTCTCTCTTCTGTAAGTAGCACCCTGATTTTCCATCATAGCTACAACCTCCCCTGGGACATTCTCAATCCACGTGATTTGGATGAGACTAATGGCCAGTCAATTTGTTCTGTCCCCTATGGTCACAGTGATGGTTCAGGAATGAACACTTGGCCCAAGTCAGTTTGATTAAACTCAATTCCAGGGCTCTCGTAAGAACTGTGTGGAGGACAAAAGCTCTCCTTCCGCTAGACTTTAACTATGAAGCCTGGGACTTTTGAAGGTCACTCTGAGGAGGGGCCTGTATTCAAAAGACAGCAGAAAACAGATGGAGAGAAATTGGGTCTGACATCTTCTCAGCCCTTAGAAAATTAGGTCAGTCTTTGTTTAGATCTATGTGAGCTAAATAATTCCAGAGGTTTTTTTTCTCAAACCTATTCAAACTGTTGTGTTTTTTTGTTTGTTTTGTTTTAATCCTCACTCCAGAATATTTTTTCCATTGATTTTTTTTTTAAGAGAGTGGGAGGGAGGGGGAGAGAAAAAAACATCAATGTGAGAGAGACACATCAATTGGTTGCCTCATGCAGGCACCTCACTGGGGCTGGGGATTGAACCCGCAACCCAGGTACGTGCCCTTGACCAGAAATCAAACCCGAGACCCTCTGGTGCACTGGCCAACGCTCTAACCACTGCACACACCAGCCAGGGATGTTTGTTTTGTTTGGGTTTTTGTTGTTGTTTTGTCATGTACAATTGAGAGAATCCTGATGGGAAGTGAAGAAATTAATACAAGGAGTTCTTAAATACGTTTAAGCACCAAGCCTTGTCTGTAAGTGATCTGTTAGCAATGCTGATTCTATTTGGTAGAATAAGGATTTTGTTTTATTAAACTTTACGTACTCTTTTTTTAACTTGACAAAAAGATCAGAAGATGTAACCAAAAATGGCATTAAAAAATAAATTAAAATTTAAAAAAGCAGTTCCCAACACAGAAAAGAGAAAATAAAATCTGGTACCTCTCAGATCCAACATCTTATTCCTAGACTTGTATCTGGTGATGTCAACATTCCATGCCCAGGCTTTGGAATTTGGGTTAAGCAGTATAACAGTGAGTTTTATGTGTCAACTAGGTTAGGATGGAGTACCCAGTTGTTCAAACACTCATCTAGGTGCTGCTGTGAAGGTATTTTGTAGATGTAGTTAACATCTACAGTTACTTTAATTTTAAACGATCATTTTCAATAATGTGAGTGAGCCTCATCCAATCAGCTGAAAGCCCTAAGAGCAGAACTGAGGTTTCCCTGAGGGAGAATAAATACTTCCTGTGGACTGCCTCCTTCCTCCACCCAAGAATTTCTAGTCTGCTTGCCCACCTTATGGCTCATATACGCTAATTCCTTGCTCTATCAACAGCTAGATAGATAGATAGATAGATAGATAGATAGATAGATAGATAGATAGACAGATAGATAGATATCCTACTGGTGCTGTTTCTCAGGTACCCCTGCTGACCCGAGCAGTCATGCCTTGGGTGTCTCTTAGGCATTCTCTGATCTCTGATTCTCAAAGTGGAAAAAGTCTCCTGAATTTTTCCCTGGGAGTCCGGCCTCCTCCTGCATGCCTTCCTTTTCCTACCCTCCTTCCCTTCCTTCTGAAGAGCTTCTGCCTCAAAAGCATAGAAGGCCTATATCTGCTGAGAGAGCCATTTTCCCTGGTCTGCCCAGTTCAGCATACATCTGCTAAATATTGAAACAATATAAACAGAGTCACTTTAAGATGCAGCCAGAGCTGCCATGCCAGAGGAACTGCCTTGCATGACATACCTCAAATAACTGGAATGTTTTAAAACAGGGCAAAATAACCTTTGGACTGAGCCTAAGCAACCTTGCAAAAAAATTTATTATAAAGATCACAAAAAAGTAGACTGATATAACTACTGGACTGAAAATTTAAAATATTGTTTAGAATTAATATCACTGTTAATTAAACTGCACCAATAGAAATGCCTTCCTTCTTTTGAGTAATTGTTCCCCTTCCCCTTCTCATAAATATCCAATGCCTTTGTCTCCTAGTTGGAACACTATTTGAGCTTTGCCTGAATCAGTGTGCCCGAAAAGCTATTCTTATGGATCTAAATAAATGCTGTTTGCCTCTCGCTTTGAAAGGCCTTTTGTTTTTAGGTTAACAGTGTTAACAACCATGATGAAGCCTGGTTTCTCCAATTATATTTCCATTGCTCCTTACTCTTCATCTTTGTCCAAGCCCAGAAGTTTACCGTATTCCCTCCTCTCCCTTCCTCCAGGGTAATTGTGATTTTTAGCCAGCACATAACTTTCCATAATAAAATTACATTTCTGAGCCTCATTTCAAATGTGCGTTCATAGACTAGGTTATAGCCAATAAGTGGGACATGAGCAGAAGTAATGTGTTTAACTTCCAGGTTCTGCATTAAAAGGAAAGGCTTGCCCAATTGAAGAATGGTGATGAGCCATACTGGATTCTGTGGGTCACAGCACCACCCCTAGGGGAGTGAAGCAATAAGATATACTATCACCTGAACTTCATCTGGTTTATGATATTGATTTTTGGAATTTCTGCAGCAACATACAAACTTTCATCCTAACCAGTATGCCACAAAGCTTACCAAAGGAATAATCTACTTAATTCAACCATCTACTTCTTCTTTAAAAAATATTTTTTGTTGATTTCAGAGAGAAAGGGAGAGGGAGAGAGAGAGATAGCAAAATCAATGATGAGAGAGAATCATTGATTGGCTACCTCCCGTAAGCCCCACACTGGGGATCGAGCCTGCAATGAGGGCATATGCCCTGACCGGGAATCATCCTGGTTCATAGGTCAACGCTCAACCACTGACCATGCCAGCTGGGCAACCATCTACTTCTTGAACCACTGAGTGTCCTGTTTCCTGACTGCTTCTCCTCCTTCCCACCCTTAAACATGGGTGACTCCCTCACTCCCAGAGTCTTCCCTTAAACCTGGTTTCTTTCTCTATTTTCTCCCTTGGAAATCACATCTACTCTTATAGACGATAACTTCACACTCTTCTAAGCCTAACTCATCTCTAAGCCCCAGGTCTGCTTATGAGATCTCTCCTGCCTGATCAATTGCTAGCAAATCAAATTCTGTATGTTTAAAATAAAATTGACAATTCTCTCTTCCTCTTTCTCTCTCTCTCTCTCTCACACACACACACACATCAGGAATACGTGCCCTTGGTGGAATTGAACCCTCAACCCTTCAGTTGGTGGGCCCACGATCTAACCACTGAGAAAACCTGCTAGGGCCCAAACTGCTTTTGTAGCTCCAGCACTTCAAGCTGTCCATCAAGGTTCACTTTTCATTATTTAAATTGCAGCTGATTTTTTTTTTAAATCCTCACCTAAGGATATTTCCACTGATTTTAGAGAGGAAGGAGGAAGCGAGATGGAGAGAAAGAAACATCAATCAATTGCCTCCCTTAAACGCCCCAACCAAGGATCAAACCTGCAACCTGGGTATGTGCCCTGACTGGAAATCAAATCCATGACCCTTCGGGACAATGCGCCAACCAACTGAGCCACACCAGCCAGGACACAGTTAATATTTGCTATGTGACAATAAATAGTTTATTGAGAAAAATGTTAATTACTTGACTTAGATCTTATACTATTGCTTTATCTAAAATTAATTAAATTTGATAACTTAGTGCCAAATTCAAACCTTCAATTTTTTTCCCAAACTTTTGGCTAAAATTCCAGATTCTTTCTAGCATTACAATTGGATTTTTGTACAAAATCCAATAACTTTTTTAAAAATATATATTTTATTGATTTTTTACATAGAGGAAGGAAGAGGGAAAGAGAGTTAGAAACATCGATGAGAGAGAAGCATTGATAAGCTGCCTCCTGCACACCCCCTACTGGGGATGTGCCTGCAACCAAGGTACATGCCCTTGACTGGAATCGAACCCGGGACCCTTAAGTCCGCAGGCCAACACTCTATCCACTGAGCCAAACCAGTCAGGGCAAAATCCAATAACTTTTTAAAAATTGTTGTAAAATCTCATTGAAAATATTTTTCAATGAAATATATTTTTGGCCCTCCAAAGTTCAATACATTGTATTCAATGTGATTCTAAGTGCCATAAGCTCAACAAAAACCATTATCTTCAAAATCTTGACATTTGTATTTTAAGCAATTTTTTATTTTTTTTCAATTACAGTTTACATTCAGTATTATTTTATATTCATTTCAGGTGTACAGCATAATGGTGAGACAATCACATACTTTACAATGTGCTTCTTCCCCCACTATTTCCAGTACCCAGCTGGCACCATACAAGTTATTACACTATTACTGACTATATTCCCTAACTGTACTTTATATCCCCATGACTATTTTGTAATTATTAATTAATCCCTTCACCTTTTTCACCCAGTCCCCCAAGTCCCCTCCCCTCTATCAACCATTAGTCTGTTCTCTGTAGCTAAGAGCCTGTTTCTGTTCTGTTTGTTCATTTATATTGTTCTTTAGATTCCACATATAAGTGAAATAATATGGTATTGGTCTTTCTCTGACTTATTTCACTTAGCAGAATACCCTCTAGGTCCATCCATGCTGTTGCAAATGGTAAGAGTAAGCAAAATATTAAAACACTTTTATGTGAAACAAATGAAGCTTCTTTGAGGATGATTTAAAATGTATTGCCTTGATTATGTTTTCCAAAAAGTTGTTTTCTCATTGTGGTACACCTATGTTTTGTAACAAACAGGTCCATAGTACCCATGTCCACATCAATATTATTCCTTTAAAAGTTCTAGTAAATATTTTTGTGAAAATGTTTAAATATATTTTATTATATAGTGCTAAAAATTCCAACAGTATCTTCTAAGTCTTTTTTATTGCTTTATTCTCACTTTGATAACATTTTTGGGAGTTTTAAGTTTTCAAATATTTAATGTATGAAACTTTAATTTCTTCCAATGTGCTAACAAAATTATTGTAAGCTAGTGATTCTCCTAAAGCAATTTGTGTTTTGTTAGCCACAGTCCCTTCGGTTACACAGGCCAAACTATGTCATCAATGTTTCTCAGATGTCACTACAACAGAATGCCCATTTTCTATATCCTAAAACTGTTAGTACAAACCAGTGAGTTTATATTAAAAATTTATATTAACTAATTGTAACATATAGCACAATTACTATGAGACTGTTTACCATGAAGTACTTCAATATTCTCACCATCAGTTTGGTGCAGGGTGTATAGACATCAGCTCTGGTCTATCCACTGAATTTAGTCCAAGGGCTACCAGTCTTAGCTTCTGGTCAAAACTCCAGATCATCAGTGGGTCCTGAAGGAAAGATGGGGCTGCATTTCAGAAGCAACTCTAGGAGAGTAGTCCATGCTTAATTTGGGGGAGCGGGGAGGATGGGTATCAAGTGACGTCACATCTGAGCCCTTTACTGATTGAAGTTACCTACCTGCCTTCTATAGTAATTTGAATTTTCCGCATCCCTGGATTAGGTTTTGAAAAAAATACTTCCACAGTATGATGGTTTCCTGAGGGGAATGGGAGCGGGGTTAGTAAAGAGTAAAGAGGGGCAAAGATACGGTGATGGAAGACGACCTGACTTGGAGTGGTGGGCACACAATGCAATATACAGATCATGTATCACAGATATGTAGACTTAAAACCTATATCTTATTAACTAATGTCACCCCAATAAATTTTAAAAAGAAAAACAGAAAAAAAGAAGAAAAAAGATCTGTTAAACCTTAAAAAAAAAATACTTCCTGTCCTACAAAAATCCTGAAAAGTGATTTACAAGTCCTGGCTACCTGCTAGAAATGAGAGGAAAGGGAAAAATAGCAAAAGCAATCCCTAAATTATTATTGCCAAAATACAGCATCTTGTCACAGCTGTACCTCCAACTTCTGCTGGTCCTGGTCAGGATTTGGCTCCCTAAAATCTTCACTAATCCCCAGCCAGTGGCGCCCACCACCTCCTCAGGCAATGCTCACAGTAGTCTCCTCCTTTTAATTTACATGTTACCCTTGATCACAGACGCATGGAAAATAAATCCCAACTCCCGTCTAGCATCCTTTGACCCACCCATTGGTCCACGAACACTAAACCTTATGACTTTCCTTCACATGGCCAGACAGGCTTCTTTCCCCATAGATCGTAAGCAGCCACACCATGTCTTCCTCACTACGCTTTCCTCAACCGGGAGCACCCTCCGTCCTTCCTCCTCGCCGGAATCCGTCTGCGTCTGGCACAAAAGCAACTGAGCCATTCAAGGAGACCTTCCTGGACCCCCTGCTGCGCCGGACCGTTTCCTCGGCGGCCCCCGCTCTCCTCGGACCGCCTGTCTCTCCGCACACTCATCCTATTCGTCCTCAGAGGGCAGGGGCTGGGCAGAAGTCACTTCCGGCCCAGGACAGGCCGGGGAGTCTGCTAAATAACTGCTAACGAGGGTGTCGGGCCGCCGTGCGGAGCACCTACTAGGTGCCGGAACTGGTCAGCGCTGGGACGCAGTCTGCTCAAAGGAGCTTACAGTCTATTCGCTAATTCAAAAGCTGTAAATGCGGTGAAAAGCAAATAAGTGACTCGGACTCCGCCTCGCTCAGAGCCGAGGGAGCAGGAAGCGTCTACCATTGGCCTCAGTTTTTCCACCAAACAGCACCGCCTCTGCCTCCTGAGCTGCGACAAGCCCCACCTTCCCCACGCGCTCTCGCGTAACCAAGTCCATTTTAACCACACACTCCCCGTCCCGGCGTGCCCCGCGCCTCTCTTCGCGGCCCCGCCCCGCCGGCTGAGCATCCTCTTCCGGACAGGCCCCGAGGGCCCCGCTGCATGCCGGGAGTTGAAGTCTCCGCGGAGGCGGCGCGGCGCCGGGGCCAGCTCTCAGCGCGTGGCAGGAAGCGGAAGCGGCCTACGGCCTGCACCCGGTCCCGGCTCCGCCCCGCTCCACTCATCCCAGTGCTATCACTGACGTGTCTCTCGGCGGAGGAGCTGCACCCCGTTGCTGGCTGAGCCGCGGGCAGCGTCGCCTCGCGCGGAGCGGAGTGGAGCCTAAGCAGGACCCGGAGTGGAGCAGCCGCCGCCATGGCGAGTGAGTCCCTGGGGGCAGCCCCGGTTGCGCCGGGATGGAACACAGTCCCCCTTTCCTCTCACCGGTCCGGGCAGGTGCCCGCCCACCAGGCCTGCCCGGATCCCAGGCCCTCGGGATTCCCACGAGTTCTGGTACTCGGTCTGCTCCCCTGCCCCCTGCCCCCTGCCCCAACACAAGCTGGGCGGAAGGCTTACCCGGGTAGCGCGAAAGGTTCTCCGAGCCCTAATTCTTCTTTTGTTTTTTCCATCAAAGTCAAGTTTCTGGAAGTCATCAAACCCTTCTGTGTCATCTTGCCGGAAATCCAGAAGCCCGAGCGAAAGGTAAGTCCCCAATCGCTGTCAAGGAGGCTTCGTGGAACTCGGGATGCTTGAAGTTTACAGTACAATTAAATATGGCTTCAACACGCCAATGGAAACTCTCTCCCTCCTCTTCCCCCTGGAGTATAGTTGTGTGTACTCCTGAGCTTTGTCCAAAGGTGACCTCCTCGTGTGGGAATTTCCACCTAAGTCATCGTGCTTTATTCGGAGCATCCTTTGTGGATGTTACTCCAGGGAGCAAAGCCTCGAGTTTGCCCTGTGCCAAAAATTGACCCTGGCAGTGAATGAGTAAGGCCTCAAAAGCCCTGGGATCCTCAGGTTGGGTTACCCTTCCCGCTTCACCTCCAACAGGAGCAGATGCAGGTGGAGTTTTTTTTTCTAGGAGAAGCTCTTTGTAGCCAGCTGCTAAGAGGAGCTAAAAGCAGTCGCTTTATTCCGACCAAAAACTTTTTATGTAGGCTGCCACATCACCTGAGAGTGAAGGCATTTTGTGAACCCTGCTTTTTACAGCAGGTGCATTAAAACGTGGAAAAAAATAGAAGTGTAGACTTCTATTGCATCTTTCTCAGGGTTTCTGCTGCTACCTGGATAGCTACAGGCCAAGATAGTGAGTGTTGCCAATATAAGTAAAGCTGTGATTGGGTTCTTAAAGAACAGGAATATTTTGTCTTCACATTCTTTTCCGACTGTTGTTCATGCATTCACATATGTGTACTTGACATCATAATGGACACTTGGGTTCTTGGAGTGTCTTTTATTTTGTGTGTGTGGTCTTTGTTTTGTATAAATTTCCCACATAGGTATTGCCTTTGATGGGCTAATAGGCAAAGCCCTTCCCCTGTCACCCCCACCCCCCCACACCCCACCCCCAGCTTGGTAGAAAGGGCATGGCTCTGGAGGCAGGCAATCCTGGGACCCACCCTTCCCACAACCACATACTAGCTGAGTGACATGGATTGGCCTTGTAGCTTAAGTGTGATAGATGGAGCAGTGAAAATATGTGCAAGATACAGCAGTGGCTTCAAAAGGGGTTAACTCTGGAAGATGTGATTTCTGATGGTGGTTTTGCAGGAAGAATAGAAGTTTTCGTGAAGTGAGGGAGAGGAATTTCAGGCACAAAGAATGTGTAATGTGCAAAGGCAATGAAGACAGCAGGTTGGAACACAGAGGGTAGGTGGGAAGCAATAGGAGCCAGACATTAGAAGCTTGCCTTGAAAGTAGGGTAGAGGATTGGAGTGGTTTAGAGGCTTTTGCAATAGAGAGTGATCTACGGGAGTGGGCTAGGAGGTAAGGCTAGATTTAGGAGCTGTTTAAAAGGTAGAGTGGACAAGACTTGAATAAACAGCTTTTGATCCTTTGCTGTTCAATTTGGCTGCATCCATGAAAGACTTGGTTATTAACAAATGAGGAGTCTTGTAAAAATTGTCCACTCTTTTTTCCTATAAAAAATCATTTCAGCCCTGGCCAGGTGGCTCAGTTGGTTGGAGTGTTGTCCCACACACCAAAAGGTTTCAGGTTAGATCCTGGTCAGGGAGCATATGGGAAGCAACTGACCCGACCCACCGACTGATATTTCTCTCCCACTTCGATCCCCCCCCTTCCTCCCTCTCTCCCTCCCCCCCTTTCTCTCTTTCTCCCCCCTTTTTTCCTACCTTCCCTTCCTCCTTCCCTCCCTCCTCTCCTCTCTCTCTAGGAATTAATGGAAACATATCCTCATGTGAGGATTAAAAAAAGTCATTTCAAAGAACAAGTTTTGTTTACTTAATACTGTCACTCACAAGGCATTTCCACATAAAGATCCTTATTCTGCACAATATTACTGTGTTTTTTAAGCCTTTTAAAGCTGTTCTTGTAGTATAGGCAGCAAGTACTAACAAAGACACTGAGTTTTAGAAGCAGAAGACCCAGAAGAATTCCCACTCTACTGCTTAACACCAGAGGCGCCTTGGGCAGGGCATCTAAACTTATCTCATGGTTCTTCGTAGTCATCTGTAAAATGCTTCTGAAATGTAAACCTATCCTGCTTACATACCTGAAGAGACGTGAAAAGTCTTAGATGCTACTAGCAGTTAGTGAGTGGGTTAAACCTGCAACTCTCCTTGCCCTACTGCCCCATATTGTTTATTACATTGTTTTATCCTTAATTCATAGAAAGTATACTACGTATTAAACAATCACAAATTCCAAATTGGCTGACTCCAAAATAACAAGATTTCGTCAGTTACAAAACCCTTTCAAGTGAATGATGATAGCTCATATATTGTAAAGGCTTGTCTGGTTTAGGAATCTCTTTCTATGGCAACATTTTTTGATCTTGGACTTGATCCTAAACTGTTTATACTAATGGTTAAGAGCACAGGCATTGGACTCAAACTCACTCCAGCTGTGGGTCTCAGGAGAAAACTCAGTTTTCTCATTGTTAAATAAAAATAGGATCTATGTAGTTCAAGGGTCCAATGAGATGATGCATATAAAGGTCTTTGCATATAGAGAGCCTGCAGTACATGTACTTGTATTTTGACATTAATGTTTGGTCCATGGTTTTGGAGTACAAGGCTTACCTTTCTGATGAACAGAAAAGGGGTCTAATCTGAGTCGATTTCTATTAATTTGCTTATGAAAATAACTTCTTGCCTTATTTCTTTCTCTTCTACATAGATCCAGTTTAAGGAGAAAGTGCTATGGACCGCTATTACCCTCTTTATTTTCTTGGTGTGCTGCCAGGTAAGCCCGATTTCCCGTTCCTGTATGGAGGTGGGGGTCAGAGGGGGCTGGAGACATGTGCTGACTCCTTTTCTCTATGCTTGTTTCCAGATCCCCTTGTTTGGCATCATGTCTTCAGATTCTGCCGACCCTTTCTATTGGATAAGAGTGATCCTAGCCTCTAATAGAGGTAGAACTCTGGCTCTCTGCACCTCTTTCTGTATAATGTGGGCTTGACTGACCTTCTTTAGTTAAATTACAGGCTTTGGCTTTATGTGGAGCTCAGAGAGTGTTTGGGAAGAATGTCAGCGTACTGTGCTGAATAGCCTTAGTAAATGCCGAATTCAGCATCGAGGCATGTCATCATATTCAGAATCGCATTTGAATGCAGTATAAAACCTGTAATAACAAGATTGAGTATGTCATAGAAAATAGGAAAAACGAGAATGTTTTTTAAACAACTGAAATAATGATATTTCTACCTGTCTTTCTTACGTTTTGATAACCTTTAGAATATGTAATTTGTTTCTCAGCTGCATCTTTTTCATATCTATAGGTTACATCATTATATGTATCAAAATATGTAACAGTGTTTTATACACTTTAATTTCCTTAGGGGGGGGATTTGGAATGTTTATGTCAGTACCACTTTCGATTAACCTATTTATTTAAATATAATATAGTTCAAATAAAGTTTCAAATCAGTTGGAAGTATTTTAGCGTAATGGAAGTAGAAGTTTATTCACAACTAGATACAATTGTATAGGCATCCTTTTCAGACTCTGGAATTATTTGAATGTTAATCCTTTTTATTACCTGAGAAAGAGACAAACCTTTCTTATCTCTGTAAAACCAGAATGAATCTGTTTATGGTGAATTTAAATGTAGCTATCTGTTTAAAAGCCATGTGACTTCGGATATAGAATAAGATGTGGTCTGGCCGACTGAATAGAATGAATTGAATTATACTGTAATTGTTGATATTTTGGGGTTATTTTCTAAATTAAATGCTGCTAGCAAACTGAAGCACACTAGTTTTGTGTAAGGGGTACACAGTCAGATTTTGCTCATTCATTTTCTTAATAATATGTTGCTTTTCCAAGCTAATATGGGCTGTGTTTTGCCTCCCCTGTCCTCAGGCACATTGATGGAGCTGGGTATCTCTCCCATTGTCACCTCCGGCCTCATCATGCAGCTCTTGGCTGGCGCCAAAATAATTGAAGTTGGTGACACCCCAAAAGACCGAGCCCTCTTCAATGGAGCCCAAAAGTGTAAGTGAGATTTTCAATGATGTTCAAATGTCAGTAGTTGAGAATTTGAATTTGCTATAAAGTTTGGGGCTTCAAAACAGTTTTTCCTTTGTACCGTGTAACTTCCTTGGCCCACCAATCCTGCAGGTGCTCCACGGCCTGTGTTAGCAAGAAAGCACTTCTCAGGCAGGGCCGTTGGCTGGGGCTGTGATACGCTGCTTCAGTGAGGGCCTCAAATGTGGCCACTTGGGCACCACTCCTCCAGCTGCCCAACACCATGTGCCAGTGGTGCGGCCCCAATTCCTCTTGTGCTTTTGGGCACTGCTCTGAGCAGTGTGTCACCCTTTAAACCAGAGTACTGGTGGGCTCTATGGGCAAAAAACAAAACAAGGAGAAAGTGGAGGAGGTGCAAGAAGAGAAGGGAGAGGAATATAGTGGGTAAAGTGCTCAGCCGTTGAGAGGTAATGGCAAAGGTGGGGTCCCTGCTCAAGTGGAAGGGGTTCTCAGATGAAGGCAACGCACGGGAGCCAGAAGAGAACCTGGATTGCCCCAACCTCACAGCTGAGTTTCTGTCGTCACGGAAAACAGCATATGAGACAGAGAATCAGAGGGAGGCAAGTGCAAAGCTGACTCTGATTCTGAAGCTAAGGGCGAGGAGAACAAATGGAAGAAGAAAGAAGAGTCCAAAGCGCCAAGGCTTTGCCTGGGGTTTGGAGCCGGAGTACATTATTAGAGCTGCAGAGTCCAGTGGAGAACTCCTGTTGGATGAGGCTGACCTGGTCCCGGCCAAAGAAGCCACTGTCTGTGCCCCCAGGTTGTCATATCCTTCTATGCTCATGTGACATTCCTACTCAGAAGATGGTGACAAAAAACTCTGCTGGGACCAGCCCTGTCACATCTGACTGGGTTGCAGGTGGGGAGGGGAAGAGTTCTACTTATCGTGAAGCTGTAGAGGTGGCTTGAGAAGATGTTCTTTGAAGAGCCAGTCTAGTTTCTGTGCCCTACAGCAGCCCAGTGCTTTAAAGCTGTTCCATGCTGTACAGTGTGCACACCCATCCCAGTGGAGGGGAAGAAAGATCAGTGTTTTGAGGCAACCCATTCTGCACTTTGGGGAGAAAAGCAAAGGGCCTTCTATGAAGGAAAAAAACTTACAAGCCAACGTGTTCCCAATAAAGAACTAAACCCATTGATGAGTTAGTTACAAAGCTGCCATTTTGGGGATGGAAACTGGTTGAGAAGGGAAAGTCTTTCATTGAAGCATATACATAGATTATTCTGTCTTAGAGGTGCTAATTCTTGAAATTGACAAGAAGACCCTTTTCTAATTATGAAGTTACAGATTATCCATCAAAACCACTTGGCTGAGGTATTTGGCGAGGGGAAGAAGGTAGCATAAGAGGTGGGGTTTTTTTTTGTTTTGGAGTTTTTTCTTACTGATTTTAGAGAGGGAGCAGGGATGGAGAGAGAGAAAGACATTGATTTGTTCCACTTACTTATTCATTCATTGGTTGCTTCTTGAATGTGCCCTGACCGGCAATCGAACCCACAATCTTGGCATATTGGGATGATACTCGGACCAACTGAGCTACCCAGCCAGAGCGTCTCTCTGTTTTTTAATGTTGAACTGTGAAACCATTAGTGGCAGGGTTCAGTCACTGAGCACAAGTTCATCAAGTCACTTTAAGAGTTGGATTATTTCAAAAGTCCTGGTCTCAGGAGAAGATTCAACTTTCATACCGGGACAGTGGTTCACTTTAGAGCACAAAACAAAATAAAAATTCTTTTTTTTATTGATTTTTTACAGAGAGGAAGGGAGAGAGATAGTTAGAAACATCGATGAGAGAGAAACATTGATCAGCCGCCTCCTGCACACCTCCTACTGGGGATGTGCCCGCAACCCAGGTACATGCCCTTGACCGGAATTGAACCTGGGACCTCTCAGTCCGCAGGCTGACACTCTATTCACTGAGCCAGACTGGTCAGGGCAAAAATTCTTTTTTAATCCTAAGAATTAACTAATACCCAAAATGCTGTCTTGACTTATGAGATCCATCAGTTCTTGACATTATCTAGACCTGCATCTAGAACTTCATTGTAAATCTTTTTAGACATCTGTTAAGTGTTTGTGAAAATTGTGTTTAAATGTAAACTTCATACTACATTGTCGGTTTCTTATTAATACTATATAGATTTATAATCCCTAACAAAAGACAGAAAGAAAGCGCTCTGGGAGAGGCATGGTACAAGGTACTTGGATGGGCTGGACAAGGCAGGTGGGAGGATGTCCATTGCCCCAAGGCTGCACGGTTGAGTGGAAGGAGCAGGGCTTGGCGGTCTCCCTCCCCCAGCCGATCGATGTCCTTACCACCCAGGAGGAGGTGATGTGTTCGTCCGGGTTATTGTAGGAATTCAGTAGAATAACGCTTGTAAACACCCTCAGTGCCTGGCACTTAATAGGTATTTGGCAGATACTGTTTTTCTTCTGGGAGTTTAAAAAGATTCAACTCAGGGGAAAGTTGATTCTCCCAACCCCGTTCTATTTACTAGCTTATGACTTTGGACAGAGTTAGGTGACAGCTATGAGAGCTTTTACATCTCAGTTTCTTCATCTGGAAAAATGGGATTAACAATAGTTACTTCGTAGCAAGTAAGTGTCACTAGTAACAATGACCAGTCATCAGAGTGATCCATGTTCAGCCTCTGACTGAACTGAAATGCATTAATTAGGAAGTGATATTTACAGTTTTCTATCCAGCCATATTTTCTTCCACACCAGAAGAAATCTTTTTAACTTAGTAGGTTAAATAATTGAGCAAAAAATACCAATGTAATTTAAACTTGTCAGTTTTAGACATAAATTAGAATTTTAAAATATATACATGAATTATTTTTAAGCACAGATTGTCTGTTTTATCTTTGGTCTTGACAATTTTTTTTTTTTTTTTAATATATTTTATTGATTTTTTTACGGAGAGGAAGGGAGAGAGACAGAGAGTTAGAAACATCTACAGAGAGTTAGAAACATCGATGGGAGAGAAACATCGATCAGCCGCCTCCTGCACATCTCCCACTGGGGATGTGCCCGCAGCCCAAGTACATGCCCCCGACCGGAATCGAACCTGGGACCCCTCAGTCCGCAGGCCGACGCTCTATCCACTGAGCCAAACCGGTTTCGGCTCTTGACAATTTTTTAAATTTCTTCTGCTTAGAGAATTCAGTTTCATTGAGCAGTTCTTTAAAAGTCAAATGAAAATTACATATGATGGGTACTCTGGAGCACAATTTTATTTTACTAATTAGGTTTGACAAACTAACCAGAAAAGCTTGAAACCCATGCCCTTACTTAGAGATTCATCTAGTAATGTGGAACCAGTAAAAGTGTGTTGATTCCATTTTGCCTAACAATGAAGTATAATGATATAAGACACGCGGATAGTCTACATAAAGCAAAGCTTCCATTAGGCCAAGAGAGCTTGTGGCAGAGGGAATGGAACAAGTGACCAAGTTACTGATGGCATTGTGAGGTTTTTCCTTTTAAAAAACCACATACATCACATACAAACTGGGAACCCCTTTATCCCAGAGCTCATCATCCTTGTTCTGGACTCAGACCTGGATGATAAGCTTGCAGCGGTGGCCCAGGCATGTCGTTCAGCTCAGGAGCTCTCCACAACCCAAGCAATCTGATCTGAGTGTGGATGCTGTGGGGTAGTGACATCCCCAAATCGTGTGCCTCGGGATACTGTCTTTAGTAGATCTTGCTCCTTGGCTTGTCTTCCATAGAACAGATTGGTCATTTCCAGCTCTTCCTCTTCCCGTCTCCGAAGGGAAAGTGAATTTAGGAGGTGAAATGAAGGCGCTCGCCTGCTTCTGTTAATAGGCATTTGAGTTATTGTGTGCTTTGACAGTGTAACTTTTGGGTGTTTCTTGGACCAAGCTCCTTGAGGCAGTATTAGTATACAGATAAAAATAGATGTTTTTATTGGTTTGAGAGAAAGAGAGAAACAGTGATGTGAGAGAGAAACATCCATCTGTTGCCTCCCCCATGCACCCTGACTGGGGATCGAACCCAAAACCTGGGCATGTGCCCCGACTGGGAATTGAACTGGCAACCTTATGGTGCTCAGGACAACACTCAACAACTGAGCCACACCCTAACCGGTTTGGTTCAGTGGATAGAGTGTCGGCCTGTGGACTGAAGGGTCCCAGGTTCGATTCCGGTCAAGGGCATGTACCTTGGTTGCGGGCACATCCCCAGGTGGGGGCGTGCAGGAGGCAGCTGATCAATGTTTCTCTCTCATCGATGTTTCTGACTCTCTATCCCTCTCTCTTCTCTGTAAAAAATCAATAAAATATATTTTAAAAAACAACAACAACTGAGCCACACCAGCCAGGGCGGCAGTATCAGTATGATTCATCTTTGTTCTTAGTGCTTTGTACAGAGTAGGTGTTCAATAACTGTTTCCTCTATGACTGTGTAATATCCCACTTTGAGAACATAGTTTTCTTTTGATTTCTAGTATTTGGCATGATCATTACCATTGGCCAGTCTATTGTGTATGTGATGACGGGAATGTATGGGGACCCTTCTGAAATGGGTGCTGGAATCTGCCTGTTAATCACCATTCAGGTAATTGTTATGCTGACATTCTCCCCTTCTGAGTAGCTCCTCACACTCACTCAGACTTCCCAAATAGCAACCCTGAACCATGCCTAAAATAAACTTCTATGGAGAAGGAGCCAAGCACCTGTGTTGGCCTCTCTAAACTCAACAGAGGAAGGCCCTGCTGTCTGTTGTCTGCTCGGCCTTCAGCATTTATATCAGAGAAGCCCCTTGCTAAGGGAGGAAAGAGCCACACCTGCAGGGAACTGGAATGCAGTCTATTTGGGTTTCTTTACTTTTATTTTTTAATTCACAGCTCTTTGTTGCTGGCTTAATTGTCCTACTTTTGGATGAACTTCTGCAAAAAGGGTATGGCCTCGGCTCTGGAATCTCCCTCTTTATTGCCACTAACATCTGTGAGACCATCGTGTGGAAAGCGTTCAGCCCCACCACTGTCAACACTGGCCGAGGTAAGCACCCTGGGCTCCCCTAGGGACAGGGGTCGGTGAACAGTATGGACATGTGCAAAGCAGATCAAAGTTCCCGTTCCAAAGAAGAAGCAGCTCCGTTTTAGGTACATTTCTTCTGATTCTTCTGTGTGTATTTTTAAACACAGACAGGCTTCTGCTCCTAATGATACATAACTTACATATTCCACGCCAGAGTATTGCACAATTGTTGACCATGCCAGAGTACAGAATCCTGCCTCTTACCTTCTAGCCAAGTGTGGACTTCTTGGCAAGGATGAGCAGCACTGATTGAAGCAGTCTTCTGATGGACATGTAGGTCATTTCCAGTTTGGGTTGTTGGTGCAACAGAAACAGTGAACAGCCTCATACATTCATGTTTCCATATTTTGGCAGTTGCTTTCAGTGAATACATTTCTAAAAATGAAGTCACTGAACCAACCAATGCACTTGGTCATGCAGGAAGCAACTTTGTGTAAGAGGCCTGAACTTGGCGTTCACTTCCTGGCTGTTCCTATTAGGAGTAGATAAGTGGTTTGGGGCAAATCCCTCTACCTCCCAGACTCGGTTGCCAGGATGAAATGAGAAATAACATGAAATGGTCCAGGAATAGGCAGCAGGAGAAGCAGCAGATGGTTCCACCATCATGTGTTAGAAACACAAGGAAAGTGCCCTCGTGGGGCAGTATGCAGGCGCCCTTCACAGTGCTGATATCAGGACCTCCCACCTGCCCACAGACCACAGGTCTGGACATGGCACTGGCTCCCAGCAGGAGGCGAGACTTTCATTGTGGGAGAGTTACACTGTCCTCAGAGGACATAGAGTAATACAGTGCTTCTGCTTCTTTCTTTAGCTGGAGGTTTAACTTCAGTAAGTTTCTTGAAATTTTATAAGCTTTCTAAGCCTTATGAATTCCCCAGCTCCCCAACCTCCCCGCACTTGGGTCTGCTGCCTAATCCTCAGCCATGTACCCATTCTTGCTCTTGATTCCTTCAGTCCCTCAGTAAGCTGCTCTGCTTCCTGGCTCTTTCAGCGCCCTTTCCTATGGGCTGTATACTGGCTGGATCAGGCTGTGTGGTGGGCAAGCATGTTGTCCTTTCTGCTTGATCGTCAATGTAAGGAGCCGAGAAGTCAGGCCCATCCCCTGCTCCCCCTTGTCAGAGGCAGCCTGCACTTCAAAGCTGGGGATGCTCTACTGCCCGGGGTTTTCCAGGGAAATGAATGGGCAGCTCCGAGCCACTCCAGTGTAGGACCTCTTCAGCTGGAGTTCAGCCGGTCCTGTTTTTGTGGTTTTATAATTGATCATCATTCCACACATCTGGTGGCCTTTGACTCACATGCCAATGAAATGAGAACTCAAAAGCGTAGACAAGCCCCTTTCTGCAGGTTGAAATCTCTACTGAAGAAATAGGAATGAGGGAGGAGAAAATGCCACTCTATCCCTGTGGTTATGGAATGGGCACCATGGATCTTAAAACTAATTCTGTTTTCCTCTCTAAGAAGCTGTTTGTCTCCTTACCACGTGTGTTCCTCCTTTACCAACAGGGATGGAGTTTGAAGGTGCCATCATTGCACTGTTTCATCTTCTGGCCACACGGACTGACAAGGTCCGAGCCCTTCGAGAGGCCTTCTACCGCCAGAACCTCCCCAACCTCATGAATCTGATTGCCACCATCTTTGTCTTTGCAGTGGTCATCTATTTCCAGGTGCGTCTAGACCCACCACAGGGAGATCAGATGGTCCGGTTTAAGTTTTGGAATGTCTTGGTGTGTGCGCCCTCACCCGCACCCAGGGTGGTGTACATCACCATATAGTATTCAAGTGGTGGGATGGCATCTTAAAGGAGCAGGTTTCCATGGGAGCTGGTCAAGTGTGTTCCATTGAGTCGTGGGGACCTGCCTGAACTAGACAAAACTGAGGCAGATACCACGTTTCTGAGATGATGCTCCTTTGGGTTGGGCGCAGCAACAGATAAAGAAGATACATCTTTAAGTTCCTAGTTAAAGAGAAGTGAAAAGTCTTCAAGCTCTAAAGCTTCATCGCCATCTTACCCAATGTTTATAGTGTTTGTAGGTAGTGTCATTCTGGAAAAGGCCCTTCCTCTTGAGAACTCTTTTTTTTTTTTTTTTTAATTTATTGCTTAAAGCATTACAAAGGGTATTACATATGTGTCCATTTTATCCCCCCGCCCTAGACAGTCCCCTAGCCTCCCCTATCCCCCAGTGTCTTATGTCCATTGGTTATGCTTATATGCGTGCATACAAGTCCTTTAGTTGATCAAGAGAACTCTTACCTTTCAAATTATTAGTCTGTGCCACTTGCTTGTGAATAAGAGACCTGAGCTGTCAGTTGCTTTTCTGTAGTTGGATTAGTCTTTGTATTTTTTCATCAGCCACTTTGTATTCTGACAGTTACTGAAAAGAAGGGATGGCAGTGGAAAAGACAGCTTAGTGCTTACAGGAAGGTCATTATACCACCAAGTGCTTTTTCTGAGGACCAGTCTGTTCCTTCAGCTGAGACTTACTCAGATGCCTGATTACTAAGCTTTAGTGCACCATAAGCTTGGTGTGGATAGTTGTAGTTAGGCCATTAAATTTTTATTTTATTTTAAAGCCTCTATATTCTGAATCCTGTACTAGGCACTGGGAGTTTGTAAAAATAATATAAAAGAAAACCTTTCTATTCTCCAAGGGTTTCAGAGGGAGAAGCTATATTCACAGAAAAGTTTAGCTTTTCTGCTTATGATTTAAAACATCGTAAAAGACTGCTCTGGGGTGTGGTGGCCTTGTCGTGAGGCCCCTGTAAGAGCATAGGTGAGGTAACACCAAGAGAACCACTGTTCGGACTTACTGGGCATGTGTCCTTCAGGCTGTTTTATGGTCCACATTGATGCAGATGTAATGTGATGGACTTTGGGTTGCTTGTTTGTGTGATTGTTTTTGACAGAAATGGGATTATTCCACTGTGCTGGGCTTTGGTTCATTTGTTAAGCCTTTCTTTCTGGGACCCTCAGTTAAAGTGGCCCCAAGTGCAGTGATGGGTCAGGAAAGGACATGTGAGCCCTGGAACCAATGTAGGTCCAGCCACCCCCAGCTGGGCTGTGTCTGTGCAGACACCGGAATGAGGCAGTGAGGGTGCTCTGCTTTGTTTGGCTTCTCAGGGCTTCCGAGTGGACCTGCCCATCAAATCGGCTCGTTACCGAGGCCAGTACAACACCTACCCTATCAAGCTTTTCTACACCTCCAACATCCCCATCATCCTGCAGTCTGCCCTGGTGTCCAACCTATACGTCATCTCCCAGATGTTGTCAGCCCGCTTCAGTGGCAACCTGCTGGTCAGCCTGCTGGGCACCTGGTCTGTAAGTATGGCTGCTTGAAGAAATCCGTTTGAATGCTGTGGCTAGTTACAGTGGGGTGCACCCATGTGTCTTCCTTGTGACCAAACATTTTACCCAAAGATATTTTCTAACCATGCCTTTTACCAATCCAGCACAGTAACTTTTCTTTTCAGTAAGAAAATGGCACTGTGGACACTTGAGCAAAATTGTGTTCCTTTTCATCTGCTCAGAGCTACTTTTGTCCTTATGCTAAGGTATAAAGAAACAGCACTCACAGGCCTTCTGTGTATTCTTCCTTCCAGGATACATCTTCTGGGGGCCCAGCACGTGCTTATCCAGTTGGTGGCCTTTGCTATTACCTGTCCCCTCCAGAATCTTTTGGCTCCGTGTTAGAAGACCCCGTCCATGCCGTTGTATACATAGTGTTCATGCTGGGCTCGTGTGCATTCTTCTCCAAAACATGGATCGAGGTCTCAGGCTCCTCTGCCAAAGATGTAAGTATAAGTTACAATTTAATTAAACCAGGAAACAGGAGCTCTCGCGTGTCCCTGGTGTAAGTGGTCTGTGAATACCTGCAGCCGCTTCCTCCTCATTAGGCCGAAGTGTTTATGGCCATAGACAAGCCCAGGGGTAAATTAATGCTCACTTGGGGAGGTGGAGCCAAACTAAAACTAGACTTTGTCATACGACTTCTCTGGAGCAGTTTTTAAATTATCTGTATAAATATTACCAGGATGCTAAAGAAGGAAACCTGTGTTTAGAGCCACTATGAAATGTCTACCTGCCTCTCAATTTCAAACTTAAAATTGAACATTGTCTTCTCTTTGGGCATCATGCAGGTTGCAAAGCAGCTGAAGGAGCAGCAGATGGTGATGAGGGGCCACCGAGAGACTTCCATGGTCCATGAGCTCAATCGGTGAGGCTGGCCCTCGGTCCTAGTGGTTTTCTCATAATTACAGTTTTCTTACACATCAAACATGTTGATAGGGCTTAGAGATTTCTGGTTAATTAAATCTTATCCAGGTTAGAAAAGGTCCCTGTGTCCACAAGAAAATCAGCATTGCCAATTTCAGATTGTCTTTCGATCCCTAGCAGGGACAGTAGACAATTTTGTTCACTCTTTTTTTGTTGTTGTTGTTCACTCTCTTAATGAGAATTCTCTGAAGACTCCAGATTTACAGCACATTGTTCAGGAGAAATAAAATGCAAGCCACATAAGAACTCTTAAATTTTCTAGTAGTCACATTTAAAAAGTAAAAATTTGTAAGTAATGTAAGGAAAATCATTAGATATTTTATGTTCTTGTCTTCAAAATCTAGTGTGACAACTTTAATATCTCAACTTGAACTAGTCATATTTCACTAGCCACATGTGGCTTGAGTGTCCACTTACTGGACAGCAGTCCTAGTCTAGACCTAATGGTATGTGAGCAGTTATAAAGTTTGATATAAACTTTCAAGGAGGTAACGGAATGACCTCTACAGGAGTTAAGTTCCTAAATCAGAGGTAAGTAGGCAGGTAGCCTGAGTCAGGAGTGGGCCACACTACAGGTATTTATGTGGTGACACCTTGCTGACTCATCTCCTCCTCCCCAGGTACATCCCCACTGCTGCTGCTTTTGGGGGGCTGTGTATTGGGGCCCTCTCCGTCCTGGCTGACTTCCTGGGTGCCATCGGATCTGGAACTGGGATCCTGCTCGCGGTCACAATCATCTACCAGTACTTTGAAATCTTTGTAAAGGAGCAGAGCGAGGTTGGCAGCATGGGGGCCCTTCTGTTCTGAGCCATGTCTCCCCTGGACCAGGAAGAGGAGCCATGCTCTGGAGTTGCCAAGGAAAGGAGCAACGAATCCAGCACGGGGTACTGCTATGGCATGTGGACCTTTAATTTTTTTTTTTAATTTCATGTTCTTTCATTCCACTTTGTAAAGTGCTAGAAATTTCCAATTTGAAATTTTGCTTTCTATTCTGGCATTGGCAAAATAACCATAGAAGTGAGGTTTTATTCACCTGATGGCCAGAGGTTGGGAGGATAAATGACTGTACTCATGTGTCCATGTAACCTTTGTTTTAACCTTTGCACCTTCTCAGTGCTGTAGGCGGCTGCAGTGGTCCCAGCTGTTCCCTACAAGGGAATAACTTATTGGTTAGAAGCACAAACATTGTTGAAAGGACTGCATTTCACTGTGGTAGTAGGTGTGAGGCTGGGAGCAGACTATGTGTTTTCTGGTAGATGTGGGAGACTCAGCATGTCCCCTCATGGTCAGGGGTAGGAACGGCTACTTAAAACTTGTTCTCTGGACGACACAATTGTCTTCTCTTTTAAAATATATTTTATTGATTTTTTTACAGAGATGAAGGGAGAGGGATAGAGAGCCAGAAACATCGATGAGAGAGAACCATCGATCAGCTGCCTCCTGCACACCCCCCACCGGGGATGTGCCCGCAGCCAAGGCACATGCCCCTGACCAGAATCGAACCCGGGACCCTTCAGTCCGCAGGCCGACGCTCCATCCACTGAGCCAAACCGGTCAGGGCCAATTGTCTTCTCTTTTAAAAGTAGTTTTTAAAAGAGGGATGAATTTCCTGGCAGACACTTTTAGGCTATCTTTTTATCCTCACCTGAGGATATGTTTATTGATTTTTAGAGAGAGAGAAACATCCATCTGTTGCCTCCCATAAATGCTCCAACTGGGTATCAAACCCACAACCTATTTGATGTACCGGACAATGCTCCAACCTACTGAGCCACCAGCTGGGATTCTTTAGCTTATAAAGTTGTGCGTGGCCAAGCTAGGCACACATTGTGATGTGGATCCCTGAAGTGATGTCTGTCCTGTTCTTCCAGTTGTCACTGGACCTGGTCCCCGTGGTTCCTTCACTCCCCACTCAGCCCTAGGCAGGGGCACTGTGGCAGGTGCTCCGACGTGGAGAGACAGTGACTTACGTGGTGTTCACAGGCACCACTCTTCTCCCTCGGCTTCCCAGGAAAGAAGGGCTTAGACCTGAGGTCTGTGATGTGGTTAGGGTCAGAGAGCTGTGCGTTGCTTTAATGTTTGATAAAAGACTCACTGTTATGTGTAAAATAAGTTTTGTTTGCTATAACAGGTGATCGAGATCTTAGGAATTGGAGCGTTTTTAAGGCCTTTAGGGAGGTCCCTCTCAAGGACAAGTGCCTGGCGGTGCTGGGCAGCAGGGACAGCGAGTAAGGCACTGCAGGCCTGTGGGATTCTTGCTGGAGGGCGCCCCAGTTCTCAGAGCGGAGAGCAATGTCCCTCCAGCAGCAGGTACACACTGGCTTCCGAAGCACAGAGAGGTGGTCATGAGTCAGTAGACGTGGCAAACTTGTCACCCGAATCAGGAGGGCTCCCAGGAGTTCTCACTGGCAGTGCAACCAAAAACCAGACTGACCAAGGGACAAGAAGTAACTTGCTTAAAATGACCCGGCAAGTCAGCCACAGAACCATGATGGGCCTGTCCACCACCCCCAGTCCAGGGCATACCACCATGTCACACGCGGCCTTGTCAGACCCAGTCCTGAGCTGAGACCTCCGCTACACTTGGTCTTCTCGGCCCCACCCATGGGAGTCCTGCAGCCTTGAGCAGGAGCCCCGCAGCCCTGCCTGCAGCCTGTAATCATCAGTGGGGCCCTGTGGGGCTCAGGCTCAGGCTCTGGTTAATGACCACAGTGGGTCGGGGCCGACCTCAGCTTCCATGGACTGTCACTGTGGACGCCAAAACGGCATAACTGAGATAAGGTGAAAAAGTAACAAATAAAGCCAACGTTTTACAAGCCATTTGTTCATGCTCTTTTGGTTTTCAATACCCTTTTATTCCCCAGAAGGCCTGTGGGAGAAGACAGCTGAGGCTTGGTTGGGTCCTGATTTTTTTTTTAATACATTTTTATTGACTTCAGAGAGGAAGGGAGAGGGAGAGATAGAAACATCAGTGATGAGAGAGAATCATTGATTGGCTGCCTCCTGCATGCACCCCACCGGGGATCGAGCCCGCAACCCAGGCATGTGCCTTGACTGAAATTGAACCCGGGACCTTTCAGTGCGCAGGCCAACGCTTTATCCACTGAGCCAAACCGGCTAGGGCAGGTCCTGATTTTTTACAAGGTGCCCAAGGTCTCCCCTAGGTGCAAGTTCCTCCTCAGAAAGACATTTTGCCTGGAAAACTTTCTTGTGGTAGTGTCAGTCACATGCTCAGGACTTTGGTAATTTGAAATACAGGTGATTAAGCAGAAATCCTGGTTCTGGGCCGGTGTGCAGACTTCTTGAGCCTCCCCTAGGACTTCGGGAATGTGTCCTGAGGTGCAGAATTCTCCCAGCAGAAGCCTATGGCCCCAGGCGTCCAGCCCTTTTAGTCCAGACCAAGGGGTGCTGTTGCCCTTGGTCGAGACAGTAGGCATCAATACACATCCAGTCACCGACCAGGAGAGTCTCACTGCCCCCAGGACCACAGCATCATGTGGACAACAGTGGCAGGCATGGTGGCTGCCTCCCTAGAATGTGCCATGCAGAAAAGTCTTCCAGTGATTTTCACTCTGAGCCAAATGACAGACTGTTTCCAGGGTAAAGGGAGAAAAAACTTCCCATTCACCCAGATTTCAAAGCTGATACGCTTGTCCTCCGCCACCACTCCGTGCATCATGTGTCCTCAGTGATCCATGATGGAGGCCCTGATGCTGGAGCCCAGCTAAGGAGGAGGCCTGCCCACAATGCTCGCTCAGGCGGTGCTGGCCAGGGCAGGCTGTCCCTCTGGGGCCACTTGAGGGAAGGTGTTGGGACATGGCCCTACGGAGGCCATGTGCTGTGAGACCGCAGCAGGACAAGATGTGCAGCCAGGCTGCCCTGTGCTCCCTCTACACTTGCCGGCCAAAGGGATGGGCTCAGATGCAGGGCAGGAGCCAGCAAGCAGGCACTGCAAAACGTGGAGACAGGCCAGGTGTCTGTTTGGACCTACAGAAACTCAGAAAACCTCCTGCTCCCAGGAAAGCACTACATCTTCTCTTGCCTATGCCTGTGGCCAGACCAACCTCACCTGGGAACAGAGTCAACGGAACCCACATGTGAGCAGCCACATACATGGTTTTGGTGCCAGGCTCTGTCTTGGCTCACTGTGACACCTGGCTGGCCCCTCTGCACCTCACTTCCCACCTGTGCACGAGAAGTTGAGCAGTGACTCCTAATCATCATGGGAGTGATGATTCTGTGGGGCAGGCACTGTGATAACTACCGAAACATGATCTCATCTACCACTCCCATGCCCTAGCTGCTGGAGGCCTTGGGAGGAAACCTCTTGTTCTGATTTTATAGGTACAGAAATAGAATATGGCCAGAAGTCACACAACCACGTAGCAGCAGAGCCAGGACAAAATGCTCACAGCCCTCTTCCTCTACTCCAAGATCCTGCTTGGCAGCTGGGCCTGTCTGCTGGTACCTTTGCTATGGGCCTGGCTGGGAAAGGAATGAGAGTCTCAGGGAACATGGTCCACTCCTAGGAGCCTCCCCATGCTGCCTGTGGCTGGGTCCCTGCAGGGAAACTGCTTTAGCTTGGGGTCCCCACTCCAGTCCCACCACCTTCCTCTACCTGCTGACACCCACTGCCCATGTCCCTCCCCAGCAAGGCTATTAGTTAAAATTAAAGGTAAGAGAAAGAATTTCCCAGACAATGAAAAGTTAAAGGAGTTCATCACCACCAAACCAGTATTATAAGAAATGTTAACTGGGGGGATGAGGACACATATGTAATACCTTAATCAATAAAGAAATTTAAAAAAAAAAGAAATGTTAAAGAATCTTTAAGCCTGGCTGGCGTGGATCGATGGTTGAGCATCAGCCTATGAACCAAGAGGTTGCAGTTTGATTCCCAGTCAGAGCACATTCCTAGGATGCGGACTGATCCTCAGTGGGGAACGTGCAGGAGGCAACCGATCGATGATTCTCTCTCATCATTGATGTTTGTATCTCTCCCTCTTCCTTCCTCTCTGAAGTCAATAAAAATATATATTTGATAAAAAGAACCTTTAAGAAGAAGGGGGAAAATGTAAATATGAATAATAAAATGGCAATAACTGTACCTAAAAATCACTTTAAATATAAGTGGATTAAATGCACCAATCAAAAGACATAGGATAGCTGAATGGATAAGAAAACAAGACCCATTCAGGAGAACCAAGATGGCGGCATAGGTTAACGCCGGAGTTTGCTGCTTTGAACAACTACTTCAAAAGTGAAACCAAAAAACGGAAGGGACATCACCCAGAACCACAGGAACGCTGGCTGAGTGGAAGTCCTACAACTAGGAGGAAAGAGAAACGCATACGGACACTCAGAGGAGGCGCAGTGCTGAAGTCAAATTCTGAGGTGCGGAGTGCCCGAGCGGGCTGGCGGCGGAGGGCGCGGTTGGCGTTTTCAATCGGGAGGGAGTCGCAGACTCTGAGCTCCAGATCCGGGCGAGTCTCTAGGGACCCAGACTCAAACGGGAGAAGCGAGACTGTCTGGCTTCGGTCAGAGCGAGTGCAGCTTTCTCTCCGAGCTTTGCAGCGGGTGCTGGGACTCAGAGAGGCAGAGCCCCTGGGGACAGGACTGAGAGCCGCCATAACTGCTCTCTCCGGCCCACCCTGTTGATCCTGTGCGACCCGCCCCGCCCAAGCCCTGCACAGAGGCTTTTGCCGGATAGCCTCAGGCAAAGGCTAGATTAGCACCTCCCTAGAGGACAGAAGTTCTCTCACTGCTGACACAGCTGATTCTCATAGCCACTTGGCCTGGAGGTCAAACCCTCCCTGGAATTAGCTACAACAATCAAGATTTAACTATAAGACTTCGAACAAAGACCACTAGGGGGTGCACCAAGAAAGCATAACAAAATGCGGAGACAAAGAAACAAGACAAAATTGTCAATGGAAGATATAGAGTTCAGAACCACACTTTTAAGGTCTCTCAAGAACTGTTTAGAAGCCGCCGCATTTCTTGTAATGAGATCTACAAGAAAACTAATGAGACCCTCGATGTTATATTGGGGAACCAACTAGAAATTAAGCACACACG